ATCCCTTTCTGGCTCAAGTACTTCTGTGGTAATTTCCCCAATAACAGAAATGAAGAAAGTAATTCAAAATTCTAACAAGAGATCAGTTCAACTAATTTCAATCAAATTCACAGGACCAGCACGTACACAGACTCAGACCCCACTGCAAGGAATTTACAGCTTATTAGGGCTCACACTGTTTCCTGCTAGTCTAGAAACTCCCACATCAGTAAGACGAAGCCCTACATGCTCCTCTACAGAGATAGCCTCATCTTCCTGCAGAAATTTACTCAAAGCAAGTAAGGAAGTTCCACTTATAGAGCAGTAGAGAGCCTACAGCCTGCAGACAGCTTCCACACTTTGCCCAACACACCAGGCATGCCTCTCATTAAATTTAAATGTGGTTTGCTGGTGGGCCACATGTCCCAATGGCTGACTATAGCTGACAAGTTAGTAATTTGCAGCACAAAACAAATAATACATTTATAAATCATGTCCTCCTTGAAAAGCTAATTATTGCCCTGAGTCTTACAACAAAATTAAACTACAAACTACGGACTACAAACTATAATCACTGAAGAAATCACTGTCGTTCACATATTTACACTTACTCCAGCAAGCATTAGAGCAAACTGTGTTGAAAACAAGAAATATTTGAGAATTTTTGGAAGACATCAGTTTAAATTAGCACTTCCTTGAGTGACTTTCTAAAACCTCTTTTTAACAACCTTTCCACACGTCAAGTACCATAATTATTCAAGTAATTCTCAGTATCCACTTGGCACCCAGACTCTCAGCCTGCTGTACACGAACAATTTCCAGTAATGTATGACCATGACAGTTGTGATTAAGACTATCAGGCCTGATTTTGTTTTCTTTGCTCTTGTAAGTAATTCATATATTTACTATAGCAGTTCAATTTCATTATTTTTAATTCAACTGGAAAATTGATTGTTTCTGGTTGTTGGTAGTAATGGCTACTTTTTTGAAAGCCTAATAAGAAACTGGAATAAGAGAATAGCTAAACTAACACTCTTTTGTTAATTTAACAAACTGTCTTCATTAACTGACCTAACCACCATTCATTTAATATCTACCACACATAAAGGATACAGAATGCAATAATAAGCAATTAGGACTCTTGAGGAGTTTACACATTAACAATGGGTTGACTGAAATTACTTATTTTGAAAGAAAGACAATAGAGTTCCTCAGATCCTAGTCATATGCCACCAGCAGGGTGTAGAAAGCCAAAAGTAAACTCTGATATCACTGATGCTCTCAGCTGGTACCTGCTTCCTCCTCACTCTTATCGTCCCCATCCCAGGGTTCTTTCTTTTCAATTAAAAAGTACACAATGTTCAAAGTTTGACTTTCACTATAACCACATATTAGAGTGTATTACTAGGTTTTTACTAATCACTAAAATCACTCTGGGTGACACAGATCTTTTAAATTCAACCATATAAAATTGTATCTCTGGGCAACATTCAACCCAGGGACAGAAAGAACAAAATTCTACTGAGAGTTTCTAAAACCACTCACACTTGTCTCAGAGGCCTTCCCACAGAAGTTTCCTACTCCAAGGGACAACTATTCCACCTTTTTCTTTTATGTCAAATATAGTATTTTTGAAAGTACCAGCCCATCTGGCTATGATATACAGCCCCCCATAAACACCAGCTGGAGAAAGAGAAAGCAAACCCGCAAAATAACATTCTTATGGAGTGGGCCTTCTCCAGGGCCCTGGCATCAGGGACAGAGACGTCTGTCCAGGATTAGCCTAATTAATCAGCTTAAAAACTCAACACCAAGCAAAGGAGTTCTACTTTCCCTGAGTTCCATCTAAGAACCCATAAGCATGCCTAGGTATGGAGACAGTCTAGAGACATAATTAAGGGCATGAGTTTCTAGAGTCAGAATGTCTAGCTGCAAATCCTAGCTCTACACTTAATGGAAATAGTAGCTTCTCCATGACTCAATTTCTTCATCCATAACTGGAAGATAACAGCACTTACTCAAAGGACTAAAGAGAATGAAATGAGATCCCAGTTAAAGAGCTCAGGACAGTTTTATCTCACAATACACACTAAGTAAATTGGTTTTCCTATATCTACTATTTTCAGGGGTTACCTGAACTATCACTAAGTTCCTAAATTGAATGGTCAACAAGTCATCTACTATTGTTTCACTGGTCTTTAGTTTGGGAGCTGAAAGCATCCTTATCTGAGAGTGATATTATCCTTATTTTAGAGTTCAAAAATAAAAGTTTAGGATATAGCTAAGCAGTACAGCACCTGTTTGGCAAGTGCAGGGTCCTGAGTTTAATACCTAGCACCAATAAATACATACAAATAAATAAATAGCATTGTTATTTCTTTCTCAATGAAAGTAATTCTTAAAACCAAATAAATAAACAAATAAATTTGCTCAGTCAATAAGTGCTATAGCAATAAAACCATTAATCACATGCCAGCAAGGTTTGCATTACATCATTCACCTGTAAAGGTGTAAAAGTATTTTAAATAAAGCTTTCTTTCCTAGTGACCACTCATTGAATGAAATTACATTCTCATAAATCTCCCAGCCTCTTCTCACTAAATCAGCATATTTACAGCACTAGAAATACAAATTCTGAGGAACTATAAAGAACGTAAAATTCTTTTTCTTATCAAGATAAAATAACAAAAAGAACTAGGTAAATCATTGTGATTATTTTAATTAAATGACTTTAAAAGTTCACAGACCCACAGTATATCAAGTCATTTTCCTTTCAGTACTTGTAATTTGATCCTGCAGAACAATCCACACTCCAACTGGCCTGTGTAACATCTCTTTCCATGTTTGCTAAATGTGTAACAAAACTGACCAATTAACAGTTACTCCAAATATCCTTTTCAACCTGCTCTTACCCTATTTACAAAGACTTATTGTCATTTAATTACCCTAAAGAAAATATAATCAAATTTAAACTGAGTATATCATGGCAACTGATCTCACAGATTATCTTTTAAAATTCCCATACTGATACCTAAAAGGAAGTATTAATCATCATTCAAATTTGTATCTCTAAGTACTTAATGATCTAACAACTTCAAGGAAAAGAACATAATAACAAGCCATGTTCAAGAAGTTTTTTTCCTATCAAATGAACTAGTTAGCCAGTTTCCTAAAAATAAAGATTCATAATAATTGTGAATCCCTAAGAAGTTTAAAATAAAAGGTATGCTTGCTTGTCTAAGAAGAAGTGTTATGCATAAGCCAAGTCGTACAGCTTTACTTCACTTACTTCTCGACTTATCCAAGCATGACATAGTCTTGCAATCCTTTCTGGCAAACACAAACGAGATAATACAATAAAATTTGTAGGACAAAGCAGAAGAAAACCTAAAATATATAATAGTTCAAGAATTTATTACAATTTCAAGAACCTGAAACTTCAACTCTACAAAAGTCGAAAGACAATTGTAAAGTTAAATATTTATATAGGTGCCTTAAAAGCCATTGCTAGGTGCACACCATCAGCACTGACATCTACTATCTGTTAAATGGTTTCAAAGTGCAATAGCACAAGTCATATAACTGGCTTGGAGTGTTAAGTTTATGACAACTAATATGTTTGGAGAGACTGTGAAGGTGTGATGCTGGTCCTAACTTTCACCAAGCCAGCAACAGGCAGCAAAGCTGTGGCAAGATAGGACCTGGGCACAGGTGCCTTTTCTCATTTTCAGAGGGAAACCTTCATGGATAATTTAACAAGGATTGTCCCATAAATTTATAATGTCTTTTATGACTCTCATAATTGCTTTTTAATATCTTCCAAAAACAACATTCTTATGACAAAAGTAACTGAGAATATAAAGTAGAAAGCTGTTTCAGCTTTAAATTGGGAAAAGGTGGACTGTTCAACAGTGAAAGCCATAACCCCCTAAGGATACATTCCATAAATGTTGGGAAGAATTTTGAGCAGTGATAAAATTCCATATGATGGAGTGATCCCTAATGACCTATTAATTAAATGTACAATTATGAATACCTTCTACTATTCTTATAATAATGCTAAAGAATGTTCCTTTTAAGGGTAAAAAGAAAAATGGGATAGAGGAGCACCGTTTGTGAACGCTGAGCTAAACTGCAGCTCCAGGACTTCTCAGATGATTGTTAAGCTTCTCCTTTTCTTCTCTGGGCAGGAATAAAACGTGTATTGAGAGAACAACAAAATCAGGCTAAGCTCAAGTGAGCGTTCTCTTAAATAGCAAAGTTCACTTCCAGTGTTCACTTCACAACTCCTTACTTCAAAGCGGAATCTGCCTGCTCAAGATACGAGATTAATTTCAAGTTTTTCGGTGAGGTAAAACTTCAAATACAAGTGCTTCTAAAAGAAGAGGGCATGGCCAACCTACAACCAGTACCCAGGCCCAGACACAAACGGGATCCCGGTCCCTCTCCACTTTCAGGACGCCTGGCCCGGCTGGGGCTGCACACAATCAAAAACTTGCAGTCAAGATTTGTGAACCAAGGATGCCCAGAGATGCCACACGTGGCTTGGACGAGTAACTCCTCACCTTGCACTTAGACCCCGAGGGCGCCTGCCCACTCCTTGCTCTTGGAGGCAGAGGGTCCCCGCAGCCTCAATTTGGCTCAGTGTAAGAGGAGGCGAGCTGGGGACACAGCTAAGGTGGCCCTCTCCGGCCGCTCCTGAGGAGAGCCGGCCGCGGCACCAATCCCGCCCTTCCCTCCCGCAGGGCGGGTCTGAAAGGTGCCCGAGGGGCGTCAGCAGGCAGTGGGCAAAGGGGCCCTGGAGGGAGCGACCCCGCAGAGCCCTCCGGGGCGCCGGGCGGGCCGGCAGCCGCAGCCCGGCCTAGGCGGGCAGCTCCGCGCCCTCCCAGGACCCCGCGTGGCCGGGGCCGGCGACGCCCCACGCCCCCAGCGCCGCCGCCCCGCCAGGTCTCCGGGACAACAGCCGCCGCCGCACGTCCGTCCGCCGCGGTCCCGCGCCCACCCGCGGCCCGGCCGCCCACCTGTCCCGCGGGTCGATCCAGCTGGTCCTGCGGGTGTTGTGGTCAATGTAGAAGACCTTGCCGTCGTAGTCTCTGGCCTCCTCCCAGCCCCGGGGTAGCGGCAGCTGCCCGCTCCCGGCCCTCCTAGGCATGGTCGGCGGCCTCGCCGGCGAGCTGCGCCTCCATAGGCACCGGGCGCCGGACGCGGCGGGAACGTGAGCCCGGCTCGGCCGCCGCCCCGACGCGGACGCCGGCGAGGGGCTTCTGGGCGCGGCGGGGCCACGCGCGGGGGGCGCCTCCGGAAGCCCTGCTCTCGGCCCCGCCGGGAGTCAATCCACCATGTCTGCGTCGGAGCAGGCGAGCGAACCCCCTCCTCCTCGCCGCCGCGCTGCCTCCGCCTCTTCCTCCTCCTCCTCCTCTTCCCCGTCCCGCAGTGGCCGCCGAGGGTCGCAGCGGCCAGGCTGCCCGAGCCGACGCCGTCTGGGCTCGGCTCAGTAAAGCTCCTCGAAGCAGCGGCCCCGGCGGCCCCGGCCTCATTTACATGTCATTAGCATGGCCCCGCCCGGCGCGGCGCGCGCCTCATCTGCATGCACATTCCTCGCCGCCACATTCCTGCGCTTAACCCTGCAGAGCCCGGCGCCTAGGTCCTGAGCCCCAACTCCCGGACCAGCCGGGGCGGAGACCCGGCCTGGGGACCAGGTGGGAGGGAGGAGGGAGAAGGAATGCGCGGCTCGCTCGTTCCTCAATATTCCAAACTTCTCCCAACCACCAGACTCTTAGAGTTTTTAGAGTTTCGGGACTAGAAAGTTTGTAGAAGAGAAGCCTCCTCCACCTTCTCAACCTCTTCCCCTCTTCTAGGGAAACCGCAAGACTTTCGAGAGGAAAGGGGCGGGGGAGGCTGTCCTGGGAAGAAGTCCCAATAAACGACCAGGGCACAAAGACTCCCCCACGCCGCGCCCTGGGCCTTGGGACCTGAGGGGCAGGGAGGGCCGGACGGCTGGGCCGGATGGGCAGCTCAGAACGTGCGTCTCGGGGCCTCTGCGGGCGCCGGGCCCTGCTGACCTCCCGGGGACCTCGGCTTCGCGGCGGAAGGCGGAGGCGACACGCATACCCCGTGGCCCTCGGGGAGCTCCGGCCCAAACCCGAGAAGCCACCCGGCCGCCCCGCGCCCGTGGCGCCACGAGCTACCCGCAGGCCTGGGACGCAGTCACCGCGCCTCCCGGCCTCCCGGGACGCTTCCCAGCCACCAGCCCCTCCGCCTGGCCTCCACTGCCCGTCCAGGACAGAGCGACTTGGACGCCGCCAGAACCCAGCCCCTTCCGTCCACCGCCCACCCTGGGAAGTTCCCCACCCCAGCCCTGGACGGGGCCAAGGAGACGTGGGCGAGCACGCTGGAGGGAACCCAAGGAGGGACAGCCGGGGACTTTAGGTTCATTCAGGATGGGACACAGATCTCTCAGGAGGATTTATTTATGCGGCAGCTACTGCATGTGGGTCTGCACTGGGCAGGGGCAGGACGTCGAACTCCGGGGAGGACAATGCTAGGAGTAGCAGGACCGGAGGGCCCTTGACGCGGAACAGCCTCCGTGTGCCCAGCCGTGCAGAGCAGGAGAAAGCCTCCCAACCCCAGACTCTTCTCCGCCTGTCCGCACCACCGTGCCCCGTTCACAGTTCACGTTTCCAAGCAGATTCTTTTAGAACACTAACACCCAAGGAACACAGGCCCCCGAAGCCCATCTTAATCCTACCTGCTAATGTGTCATGACTTCCCACCTTGTGCAGGCCTCTGCGCTGGGCCCCGGCTTTCCAAGGGTTTAGAGAAACTTGTCTTCCGCCTGTGTTTGTAGACATGCAAGGGCTTGAACAGCTCCGTGGCGATTCGGGTAGAAGAGAATCCCTACTCAAGGTTCAGGGCATTCGTTCTCCTGATGCTGAGCATAAACGTAGAGGCTCAGACGGGGAACAAGCTTCACAGACAAGACTGGACTCTCCTCGGACGACGGTCCTAGTAGATGGGAAGGACCTCGTATCTACACCCGAAGCCTTCTGGATTGGAAGGAGAAAGTTTAAACCGCCAGAAATTTTGGAGAGCTTGGAACGCAGGGGAAGGAGCACAGAATACCGGGGATATGGTGAAGAGAGATGCTGGGCGCAAATCGCTCACTTTGGCTGCCTTTCTAGGTCTTCCTCCATTCCACTAGCCTGTGGAAACTGGGCTTTGCGCTTAGCAAAGTCTCCACCTCCTACCCTGTCTTCTGCTCCTCTATTAAAGGAGAGATAATCATGCAAGGCCCTAGTCCTGGGGGTTGGGGGGGGGGGCAGCAAGCTGGGTAATCTTAAAATTGGACTTTTGAATGCTGTGAAAAAGACTGCGCTTGTTTACAATTAATCTCACTCACACTGAGAACATGGGCTTTGTTTTGGACTGCCCTAGACTGGTCTACTTGTGAGGCCAAAATTTACAGGCGTGAGGTACTAATAACATCAATCAAACCAAAGTATTCTTATTTAAACAGTGCTTCCTGGCTTTTCTTTTCTCCCTCAAACAATTTGAAAACATTTATTGTCTTAAACTGTCAACATCCTACTATTTAAACAACAACAAAGTGACACATTTTGCTGTTGTCATAATTTAACTTGTTTCACTGAGATCAAATACCACAAAGTAGTTCTGAGTATAATTTCAGATTTGGTAAATTTTCAGCTAAATATTTCTACCCAAATACTAAAATTGATGAGGAATCAAAAATAGACCACATCCTTAAGTAGAATTTATTGTTCTATAAATCTTCAGACTTCAAAAAGAAGCACTAAACCCAAAACTCCAGAGCCGTGAAGAAACAGCTCAGTTCTCGCTCACTGACTGGCACAGGAAGCATTTGGTCACACAAAAGTGGCTAAAACAAGAGAAAGAAGAGTGACTGCTCTACAGCCTTTTTTGTTTTGATCAAATTTGAACTCTGTTGCTCTGATTTCACATCATCTATACAGGAGCATCCTTTCACAGAATCCCTAGTGGCTCAAACAATGAAACTTCATTTACATTCATACCTGAGAAAAGAAAGCAAATGTGAAAATTATCTCCAGTTAGAGATAGATGCATTTGAATTTGATTTGTGCTCCTGCTAATCCTTGTCAAAGAAAAATGTAGTCTGCTGTTTTAAATGCTAGATTACCAGATATTGGCCACTGAAGGGTCAATTCCCTGGCCCTCAAAATTTCCTTTCTCCTGGCTTTACATGTTCCCCAATAACTGTTTGATTCCTAACAGTTTGTAGGAATCACATGCACCATCAGGGTCTCAATCCTGGGTGGCAGGAAAATCAGTGATATAAAAAAATGAGAATAGACAACAAAAACTAGTTCAAAAGATTATGCTGTTACATCCAAATTTAAAGTGTGTATAACCTTTAACCTAGCAATCTGAATGCAGTAATTTTAATGGATCTTAAAGCTCCTGAAGACATTCCCAGATGTTCATTTGCAACGTGTTTGAAAATAATCAAACTGGAAAAATCACCAGTGGTCATCAGTAAGGGACTGATTGAGTCATAAATTACATATATTCAGAGAGCATTTTTAAAGCATTAGGTAAACATATCTGTGCTTGTAAAGAAAGATGTCCAGGTTATATTAAATGAAAAAAGCATGATCTAAAAGGATACTTGCTGGCTGACTTCCATGAAGTTACAATCCAGCTCAGGAAGTGAGGCCAATAAGAATGTAAAGAACAGTAATTTCCTATATACTCACTTTGTGTCAAAACAATGACAGAGAGGAAATTTTAATGGAGATGTTGGCTGTTGGGGAGACATCCACATAAAGTAAGTGATCAGTAAGGAAAAGGAATGGGGTAGAGGTGAGCACAGACATGCTGCAGAATGGACAGGCCTAACTGGGCATGCTTGTGCAAAGAAATGAATGTGCAAAGTTCAGAGATGAATCTGGCATGAAGGAGTCCAAGACTGGCTGGAGCCATAGAGTTAAGGAGGTGGCTATGATAGTATAGGTATGAGATAGATAAGGGCTAGGATTAGAAATAAGGCAATGAAGGATGAAAAGGAATGGTCTGGCAAGAATTTGAGACTGATTAGATTAAGGCCAGAGAGGTAAATAGACCAGGAGGAGGAATCTGGGATGGATCCAAGATTTTAGGTTATTGAGAGAGATGCCAAAAACTGGGGGAAAAATGAGGAAGTCCAGAGGGAGATCTGATATAGGGTTTGATTTTAGAAATTAGAGATATACAACAGAAAATTAAAGGTCAGTCCAGGACTAAAACTCAAATGAAAAGTCAAGACTCCAAACACATGATGAATGTCATCAACGGAGGTTCGAAGAGAGCTGAGGTTCCTGGACTGAATCTTAGGAAGGAAAAGTCAGTGTAAATGAAGGAACAGAATTAAGTACCCCATCTATAGTTCTACTTCTGGCTCTAACTCTTCAGTAATGTGATAGCACTTTATTTCTTTATGGTCTCCATTTTCAGTGATGTGTGTAAGAAATGGTTGTTAGTGTGGAAACCATCTTTGAATGAATTATTGTTATAGCCTTTATTGTTATGCTGGTGAATCAAGTCTGTGCAGGACAAGATGAACTGGTTTTCAATATTTAATAGCCCTGTTTTCTCAAAGAGATCAAGGATTATAGAAGCTGGAAATTCCAAATAAAAAGAACATTCTTTTTTTTCTAAATCAAATCAGTTTTTTTTTAATTCTTTTGCAAGTGAACAGACTAAAGTAATTACTATCCCTAGTTGTTACAAATAGCTTACCCTAGCTGACAATGCCTAAATTTTATTGTCTAGACAATCCTTAAAAAGACAGGTGTGTGATCTTTAAGAATTTCCAGTGCTGGGCCAAACCAGAATCCTAGATTACCATAACCATTTCCCCTCCAGTTAATTATTATACTAACACCTTAAGCAAAAACAATCATTCCAATTCAGTAATAAGCAAGATCCAACAAATTTAATTTTATTTTATTCACTGAGATAGGAAACCCGCTTTGGGAAAACTCAGGGGTTACTATGAAGACAGTGAACATTTAAGATCTGTGTTGAGCTGTGGTCATGGCTCTGTGATAGAGCACTTAGCTAGCCTGCAAGAGGCCCTGGGTTCCATCCCTGCAGCAAGAAGCGCAACTGTCATTTTCGTGAAGGACAAAGGAGCTCAGGTGCCAAGTGCACTCCCAGAGGACACCTTTCCATAATCTGTGGGGCAGATTCTTAGTAAGTGTTCATGTACATTGTTTACTATATAATGAAAAAGTATGAGGTTTTATTTTCCTTTATCATCTTTAATTTGCACCTTTTTCTCTCTCCCAGCTTTATAGTCTGTTCAAAAAAAATATTTCTTGGTGGAGGTGGTAACGTACAGTTGTGAGCCAAGCTCTCCCGGAGGTAGGAAGCTGAGACTGGAGGATCACCAATTTAAGGCCAGCCTTGGCAACTTAGTGACTTAGAAATTTTAAGAC